CGTGCCCCGCACCCGCTTACCTTACCGGTAGGACCTCCACAGCCAGACCTCCCACGCCTCAACACTTGTCAAGCCATGTGGCTTGTCACACCAGTGCCGCTGCTCACGGCAGGAGGTTGCACAGTGCTTCGGGCCATTGCTGTTGCTCGTGGCAGGATGCCGCGTGGTGCTTCACGCTGTTGCCATTGCTCAGAAATGGCCCGAAGCGCCATGCGACATCCTGCTGCAAGTGATGGCAAGTGGCGGCAAGTGGCTGCTGAAGTCAAGCAGCAGTGCAACAGGTGTCAGGGCTTGGGAGGCCTGGCTGTGGTGGTCCTAAAGTAAGACACACCCCCCAAAATAAGACCCAGTGCCTTTTTTGGTGGCAAAAAAAATATAAGACCGGGTCTTATTTTCGGGGAAACATGGCGCCTATGTTATAATCTACCTATCTCCCTCAGATTGGAGCTGCTATATACTACAGGTGGGGAATCATTTATCCAGAGGTTATTAAATTTCATCTCATCAGACTAGCTAGAATAATCACAGATTAGAAATAGTGGGAGCCGATGTTCAACAAAAATTAGAGGTGCAGAAGTTCTCCACTCTGTATTTAGGTAATATTTATATACAAGTAACTTCTAGTTCACTATTGTTCCAATAGGACCTCTTGGCTGCAATAATTTGTATATATAAATGATGCCCATGGGCACTGCTGTATCAAGAGACAACTCCCACTGCTCCTACAGACCATGTCTTCTTTTTCACAGTGGCTAGGAGTGCTTCAGCCTGATGAATTGGCCTGTAGCCACTTGCTATTTTTATACTGGAGAATATCTCCAGGCTTGTAAAGGCTCCAAAATATTCTTATGAACTAAATATTTTGGTAGCTGGAAGCCATATTTTTGTTCTGATATACCTCTCCAATCACACAGAAAAGTGGCCAGTCTCATTGTTAAAGGGAGAAGAATGTATAAGTGTCATCTGATCAATGGGAAGAGGAAGCAGTGCAGAGGGACAAAACTGAGCAAGAAATGAACAATGAATGAGTGGAACCTAAATGGGATTCAGTTATGTGGGGGTGAGTGGATTATTTATGGGAGAAATAGAGTTTGTATTATGAGTACTTAAAAGAGTAAGAAAATCCGAAAGATGTTCTTGAAAGAAATGAAGTTCAAGGAATTGTGTGTTTGTGATTCTGTCTCTTCACTGCCAACATATATGTTACCAGCATCATTTTGCAGACATAAGGATGTGGCCATGTTCATCACATTAACTATTGGGAATGGCACATACTTCCAGAACCACTACTTTGTGATGACATGTATGACACATTCCTCAGATATGAAATGTATTTAATTATATTTTAGGCCATGTCATCTCACAATTCTGGATGACATACACATTTCTAGATTTTCCTAGGAAAATCTTAGAATTGCTAGGACTGTAAGCAGTTGTGCCTTCTGTTACAAGATAATGGAAGCTTCTGACCTGGAAGATAATGCATCCTCCCAATTACAAACGGGAAAATAGTAAAAAATATTTGTGTTCATACATACTGAACTGGGATAGTCAACATAAGACTTTTCATCTTTTACTTGGACACTTCTAAACTTTTTATACTCTTCTAGATTGGTTCACACACCATGGTTTGTTTAACTATAATTCATTGAATACAGCAAAATGGCGAAGTTCACATAATATATTAAGTCGATATATTAAACCAAACAAACCACATTATGAACTCATTCTTCATTTTATAGAAATTTAGTCAAAATAAAATGCATTTCAACAATAAGTGATCTGAAATGAAGTGGTAGGAACACTTTGTCTTTGGGGAAAGAAACAAGGGTTTCTCCATATGTTAATGTTCTGTCATTGAACAATTTAAGGACACAGTTATAATATTTCACTCACACCTAAACCTTTAGACTGCTCAATCCAATTATACCATATTCAATCTTAAATTGAAATAAAGTGGATTTTTACAATGAATATAAAAAAGTGATGTGGTTACCAAGGACTACTTTGTACTACTTTGGATACAAAACCTATATGGAGGAAGTAGTCCTGTTTATCTTTAGGGGGTATGGATTAACAAGCACATGCTGTTGATGGTTCCCACAGAGCTGAAACCTGGAAATGCCTGTAGAAAAATAATCTCTTGAGTAATGGAGCACAAGTCATGGAATTACTTTGATGCACTACTGCCAGTGCAGAAAAGGACCAAAAGAGCCACAGGAGGAATCCTGTAAAAAATATTGGCCCAACATTCACAAATTGCTATGACTTTATGTGACAAGGAACAGGCCAGAACACAGTGCTGTTTCATTTTGCTGTTCAAAAATTCTATTTTGTTATTTTAGTATTTTTTTTAAAAAAAAACTAAATTCTCCACAACTCTTTTTTTATAAAGTTGAATTAGAGAAGGAATATTGTGTACCTTTCATTTTTACTATTTTGAATTAAATATTTGCAGGTTATTTTTCTCAACTGTAAGTGACACTAAATTTTGCTTTTCTGTTTTGTTTCATTCTGAGAGTATTCCAATCCTTCCACATTATCATTTTCTATCCTTTACCAAGTTTGTCAGTTTAGAGACAGGACAAGAAGGAGTTGAGTTTGTCCTGGTGGAGGATTTCATGTTATTTTGTGTGTAGCAATAGAGAAAAGTTTTCTAGTTGCCTTTCTTGTGGAATGCATTTTCTTGTTCCCAGTCTGGCCTTTTTTTGGTGGCCTCACATCTAAATACCAGCCAGGTCCAGCCCTACTCAGTAATTCTCAGAGAAGATGCAGAAAGGGAGAATATTTGCATTGATGGTTGGAGGGGGCATCTATTGTTGTTTCACAATTCATTTTTCATATTCTGTACATCTAATTCAGGCTACAATATATTTTACTGCAGAGCAGACAGGACAACAGAGTTGGGTGAGAGGACATGGGGAAACAAAGTGGGGAATACAGCTTCTGCAATTATGTTCAGAAACTCAAGACTGTTTCACAAGTTACAGGCAAGCATAGCATCCCAGGCAATCCCAGTAAAAGGTACTAGGAGTTTTGGCAAATCAGTCATTAGTTTTTGCAAAAATGCTGTTCAGTTTTACGCTGTGATGAGCAGTGGTTTTGCGTAATAGCTGGAAGCATAGCATCCCACTTGGAATATGTCACAAAGATCATTTAGTTCACCCTGTTAATACAGTAAATCATTACTACAACATTTATAAGCTAATCCATTAATCAAAACATTCGTTGTTCTTGCCTTTGCTGTGTATTCGCTCAGTTTTTTCAAGGCAGGTTACTGCTGCTTCTATGCCCATCCTTCATTTGTCATAAGGAACTAAAAATGCTGATCTATCTTCCACAGTTATTGTAATGATTAATAATAATAATAATAATAATAACAATAATACCATATCTAAAGTAATTGAAAACTCTAAAGCATTACATAAATAATATGATTCGGACTTAGTTTGCTTTATTCCTGGTCGTGCATGCCTAACAACAACAGTGGAACAATTTTTTCTGTAATTGGTTTGCTGTCCTAGAGGAAATTAAATCAATCATGCACATAACAAAATAATTATGAGCTAAAAGGATCAAGAAAACTAGTTTAGAAATTTTCATTCTATAATAAAATAAAGGGACCTTTAAATCTATGCCAAAACTATTTTTGAACTTGAGAGGCCATTAAATAATTAGGCAAGTCATTTGGTGAGGCCTCTACTTGATAACAAAACAATAAAGAATTAGCTACTTTTATTAGATGGCACTTGTGAAAAGTTCTTTCTTTTGCATCTCTTTGAGTTTCTCACTCTTATTTTTCTTTTCCTATTGACAAGAAGTATATATTAACATAGTGGAAGTTTCATTTTTATTTTAAATGTCCTGATCATTTACATTTAATGTTAACCAAAAAAACCCCAAGACTATATATGAATTATCTTCCTCCCAGGCTAACTTTATTTAATCTTGGAGAATACTGTATAAATGCTTTGCTTCTTTTAGTAACATTTGAGTTAGATGAAATGAATAGAGATGAATAATGTGGGGTGGACTGTATTTAAAAGGCTAGATAATTGTGCATGAGAGTGTAAAGAATAGGATGGATCCTCAGACTGGAAAAGTGTGCATGGTTATTAATAACATAACAGATGTCTGGTTGCTCATAATTAGTTGTGACATCTAAATTAATATAAACACCACTTTTAGAAAGTGCAGGGATAGAGCTACTGGCTCTGGTTAGCAAAAAATCTGAAGGACCACTAAATGAAAGCAAAGAGAGATAATAGATTATAGTTCTTTGCTGCCATACAGAGTTTTGCAGCCCAGACTTAGTATAATGCAGAGGCTTCAGAATATTGAAACAGAAATATAATAGCTGTTTTTAAATATGTCATTCTTTCACGCACCATCTGATACAATTTATCCGTGCCCCAAGAAGTAGGAAACTTTTTAAAAGCCTCAATTTCTCAGTTCTTACAAGTATTTTTTTCAGCTTTTCAGAAAATATAATTTAATAGTTAACATTTACAGCAAATGCTCCCAGGAGGCAGCATTATTTACAGTGGCCAAGACCAATCCTCTTCTTTTCCATCCCACAATGCCATAGGCTCAAGCAGCTATAGATAATTTCATATCTGGGTTGTCTTTCTTCTGGGTGCTTAATTCTTCAAGATACAATTCTGGCTCTTCTAGATGTGTTTTCCTGGCTACATTGCTTGTTCTGTTGCCACTTGCCAGTAGGGGGCACACCATCCACAGGGATAAAGCTGAAATAGCAGATTCTAAGCCTCTTCCCGCTGATACTGTTTTGGTAGCCTCTGGCGTGATGGATCGATGCATCTTGACTTTGCACTTGCTGAGCAGAGAAAACCAGGAATATTACAGCTTCATATTACAGCTTCTTCGTTGCCCACAAGGTGGCACAAAGTCCCCACTCTATGATAGTCTCTAGGAAAATTGCAAAGGGTTTAAAATACTGCTTATTTGGAAATCGCCATAGCAGGTGGGGATGCTAGGACATAAGAACATGTGAAACAGCTGTGGATAGCCAGTGTTTTCCTGGAGGCACTTCTGTCCTCCTTTTCCTGTTTATGTCTGCACACCCTTGCCAAGAAGTGGCCCAAGAGGGTCTCAAGGTCTGCCCTTGGCAGTGGGGTTTGGTAGAACTACCGGTACCGGCACGCCAGGGCATTAACATTCTTCACCACGTAGAAGCTCATAGTGAGAGGTGGAATAACAAGGGTTCGGCCAGGACGAAGAGGACGAGGCTTCAGATTTGGCAAGGTTCCATCATCCAGCATAGTGAGGAGCTGTCCATTAAGCTGCACAGACCTACACAGACCAGATGCATTTTCAGTCAAAATATGGAGGAGAAAACTGTCCCTTTCCAGATAAAGGGGGGGAAAGGTAGGACTTATAGATAGCATAGATGTTCTTCATGACAATGATAAAAGAAATACAGGAGACTTCAAGATAGATGGACACTAGCTTTATATCTTTGCTATGGAACTTAAAGATAAGCTCCTATGAAAGAACAAGGCTAGGACAGTGACTGCATGGTCAGATAAATTATACCAATACTAGAATCACATGGCTGGTGAGAAGGACTGAGAGTGTAGAATTCAGGACAAATAATCTAGAGCCAGGATCCCCAACCCCTGGGCCATGGCCCACTATCAGGCATTGAGCCATTCAGAACTGGGCCACGGAATTGACGGGCGAGCACGCATGCACATTCCCACTTGCACAGAACCATGCCCTCTCCCCCTCACATGCCAGTCTGCAAAACCAGAAAGTTTGGGAAACTCTGATCTAGGGCATGCATGACAGCAAGATGTGGTGATGATCAACAGTCTGGAAGACGTTAAAAGCAGATTGGACAAATGTATAGTATACCACTAACTGACACCTAGTTATGACTCATGAAGACAGTAAGTGACTCAGTACTACTTGCTGAGAACATGAGAGAGAGGCCTACTGTGTTTGCATTCCATTTGTGGATTTCCCACAGGCATTTCATTGGCCATTAGGAAAATGGAATGTTAGACCATATAAGCTTTCTTAGATTTGGTACAATACTGTACTTCTTATCTTTTTGATTTTATGTGGGGCACCATAATGGAGAATAAAGTAAGAAGGTATATTGAAATAGTTTACATTATGGGGGATGGAAACCTCTGGTCAGGAGTAGGTGGAATTTTTGGGAAAACAACATTGCTGGGTTCTCCATCAGTATTTTAAAGCTGGATGGAATTATACACAGTAACAAGTTCCAAAAAGCTAGCCTTTTCTGTTTAAAACACAAAAATATGTGCTTTCTTAAAAGTGAACATTATTCACATGATTTATTATAACATAAGCTTTTGGGACAGCAAAAAGATGGAAATTAAGGTATCTGAGTAGTTCATGGCAAGTAGCACACAATATGTATAGATGAATAAATGGAGCACAGTGCTTAATATCAATGCTTGGTCATTAAAATGTTCTTTAATGGGTTCTCATGATAGTAGCCTTGAAGTGGACAATAGCACTCACCTTGACTGAAGTCCTTCCTGACCATCGGGTTGCAGCACATACTGATGGACAAGCTTGTCCCGAAGGGTCCCCACCAACTTAATTTTCTTTCGTGACCGATGCAAGTTGATAATGTAAATTGTGATAGAACCACGGACATAATTATGGCTGGGAGAGAGATAAGAGGTTGAAGGTGAACCATTTGAATGCTTTTTAATAACAATGTGTTAGCTCTAGAGTTAAAGGTTTTCACCATTATTTTCCAATCCCAACATGAAATTCTAGTGACAGGAACCCCATTTTGGGACAAAGGCTATGGCCCTTTTTATCTAGCTTAATTGCCTAACAACAAGAAGCATTTCCTGCAGTTCAGTCCAGGATGTTCTTCTGTCAAATCAATTTTCCTATGTATCACTTTGCAAAGATGAATCCTTTGTCTAAAGGATACTCCCAACATTTTCTACAATAATTCCATAGTCTTAATGAAGCCACTATGGATTGGTGTTTTCAGAGCAGCTAAGGTCCTATATTTCCACTAAGCTAGGACAAGATAACATTTTTGCTTCAAGATCTAGCCTGGGTCATAGGAAATATCATAAAATTAAATAGCACAATTTGTTTGGGTTACATGGGAGAAGAACACTATCATCTAGATGTAGAAGCATCAATATTTTCTCTTGGAAAAAGTTAGCACCTATTGGTGCAGTCAATGTAGCATTTCCTACTCTAGTTAAATGAATAGCCTTCCAATTCTATCAATTGTTTATTTGCAAGTGGCTATTAAACTGAGTAGGAAACTGGCATGTGAGACAGGCACAGTTACTTTATCTGCGATGAATGGATGATTAGAGTAGGCTTCAGATTTTAATGTTTGTTGCAGGCAGCAATACGATGATGACTAGGCCCTTACAATTTTAAGTAAAATCCTCCTATTTAGCTGTAATTTGCCACTGAGTACAAGTAGAAGAGCTGCCTAAAAAGCAATATTTTATAGGTCGGAAGAAAGCTATACCGTATGCTAAAGAAAAGTCCTTTGGGGGGAATACTTGAAAGCTAATAGAATCGTTAGACACATGTTGGGAGTCCCTGGCTGAAATCTCAGCTAAATCTCAGATGAATTTTTTTTAGTGGCCTTTGGCAATCTTTCAATCTACATCTCTTGCCTGAAAGGTGATGGTGTGGTTAACAGCGCTATTTTATTATAGGATGTTTATACAGATGTGATAATACAAGGCATCTGAAGCCTTATACATATTATTTCCTTAGGTAGCATTTACAAGGTTTTCAACACTCCTGCTTTTGAAGTAAACTTAGGCAAGAATATCCCCAAAGAGGAGAGAGTTAGCTTCTGCCCCCATTTACAGTATTTGCCCTGGGCATGAAAAGGAGCCAGGGGTCTGCTGGCCTGTGCCTACTTTCCCTTTCCCATCTCTCCCTGTTTCTGTTGCCAGTTACCTGTCAGTCGTTGGCCAAAGCTCCCTCTAGGAGGGGGAGGGGGAAGGGGGAGCCTTGCTGAAAGCATCTGGGTGGTGTGAAGTAGCAACAATAGGGAGCTGTGTCTTTAGGAAAGTCCCAGGTCCTACACTCCTAAGATGCTTTGAAGGCTTATCGTAGAAATTCTAGCTAGGTTAGGTGCCCCAAATGGGAAGTGGGGGGAGAGAAGGAACTGAAACCAAACGATGGGGCCTTTGGGGAACTGTACTCCCTTGATGTCATCCACAAAGGCTCCCACCACAGTCCCAGAGATAGGTGAGCTTCCCTATCAACACCAATTCCCTATTCCTCCCCTCTCCTCAATCTGAGAAAGCCACGTTGCCAAGTTGTGCACAGAGAGGAGGGAAAAAAGAGGAGACAAAATCTATGCTTGTATTTATATAAGATTTTTTCCCTAGTGCACTACTGTTCAAATAATGAATCTCATTCTTTAGCAGGTATAATGACACATAGATCTGGGAGCCTGGAACACAAAGATTCATCTGAATTAGATGACATTAGCTCACTCTGATTAATCCCATTTGGATCTGTTGGTCTTCAGTGCCCAATCTCCATTTTTTATTTCAGTAGTTGCACCTGCTCTGAGATAACTCACTTGTAGTAACTGGTGCAGTGAGCATAGATGCGTAACTTATCACGAATCACCCTGCCAGGGCGAGGTTTTCTCTGCAGTCCAGCTACATGAACAGCAAGTACTCTGGGTCCAACAAGTTGCTTGTATAGCAGTGAGAGCCAGTAGTCCTGTCAAAAAAGCCAGATTGATTATTCCTAGGACAGAGTTTATGGAGAGGCAGTATAAAGGATTATGAAGCATATTCTAGTTTGCTACAGCCCAAGAGTAACACTAAACATAAAGAATTATGCTTCTCTATGTTCAGAAAATATAAGACAGAATTTTTCTACTTTTAATAGCTACACATATGGGAGAAGTTGGAATATGTGTTTTTCTTCTGTTGAAAAGCAGTACTTGTACAAGTTCTTCCTTTCAGAATAACTGTCAAAAACGTTTGAGCTCTAGCCAATACTGAACATACTGCTATAGAATTTAAGTATCCTTTTGCATTGAAAGTTTGTGACATGACCCCAGGGGTTTCTTATATAGGTGTGTTTAGAAAAGGAGGTACTGGGAAAAAAAATAAATTAGATGACCTTTTATACAATCCTACTAAGTAGACACGGCTGTCTCCTAGCCGAGACTTACAGGATACATTCCCAGGGGCCCTGTAGACCTTTGCAACCAGATCTGAGCTCTAAAATTGTGCCCTAACCACATGGTGAAGAAATGCTGCTTGTAACCTGACAAATAATTGCAGTATAATAGACCTTCCACTCCCAGTTCTCTGAGAGTTATTGTTGTAAAAACCAGAACATAAAATGCCACTTGTGGTTCTGTTCTCGTCACTTCATGTTCTGTTCCTTCCAGTGACAAATGCACATGCGTTTGTCAAATGAGATGCAGCACAACAATAAGGGTGCCATTTACCACAAGTATGAGAACAATATACCCTTAGGACTCATGTGCAAAGCAGACAGAGTATTTATTTTTAGCTAAGGTGTAAACACAATTTGGTGCTCCTTTACCACAATATTTTTACAGAACAACTTAGAGCTGTCATAGTCTTAGAGAAAAGGTTATGAAAATCTGAGAATAAGAAATTCTTTCTTAGTTGTTTTTTTATGAAGTCTTACATTTAGAATATCCTCTACAGCAACTACTGAGTCTGAAAAATCTGGAAGCATCTCAAGATACACTATTATCATATGGAAGTTTTCTTACATGTTGTTTTGATGTTTGTAAACTCTGTTGGCCTGTGATAAGCAATAGGATTTTGGATAAATCTTTAATTTGATCCAACTGAGAATTATTTCAAGTAATAGTAAGGACCAAAATTATCATCTAATAAAGTAAATGGCAGTACACGGTGAACTGAATACTCATATATACATACATGAATGATATTCCAGAACAGACAAGTTGGAAGACATTCACTTTGGCAAATTGAATTAGCCTAGACCTCGGAACTGTTTTCATGGGTGTCACAACAGCTCAATTGTCCCTCCTTCAGCAGAGAATCTCTGGAGTTAGGGCTAGATCTGCCATGGCATGGAAAGGAGAGCAATTGAGCTCTTGCAAGGCACCCAGCCAAAGCTTGTCGCCAGCTGATGGGTAGCCAGGCCAAGGCATTGATTGATGTCACGGCTTCTCTCAGCATTGGAGGTTTTGCACAAAAGGAAGATAGCAAGTCTTTGTCAATGAGTTAGTGGGAGGATTCAATTTCACGTCCCAGCAGTCATGCACAGCCCCAAACAGCCACTTTCATCTCCCTGATAGCTCCCACGGGAAAAGAACGGGCACCACATCCCAGCCCAGTTTCAGAGTCTGCTGCGGCTGAGCGATGCCATTTTTGCCTGTTCAACAGACTCTACCTCTCCACCCAAAAAAATCACCTGTTCTGGATAGGAAGAAAGATATTAGCACTGAGTGAGTTTTACTCAAAAGAAGATGCATGCATAATATGAGCTTCTTTCTTACCATTGTATGCTTAATTTAGAATGTTTGAAATCCTAGAGGAAGCTCTGCATAGGATTTTGATTTTTCTGAGGCCCCCAAACTGCCTTTTTGGTATAAATGCTTTGGAGAAAAGTATTTACATGTTGATACTCAGTTAACAGCAGATCCATTTTAATTTGGACTTGTAACACACGTCTGTGTCTCTGGCTGTCTTCTGCCTCTGTCTCTCAGTAGCCTGATAATTATCTGTACCATATTTTCATCCATCCCTACTCCCTCTCCCCTTTCCTCTTCTTATCAGTCTATTTATAAAGCAGTGGTTTTTAAAAAAAAACAAAAAACTGAACCTTAACTTTATGAAAAAGAAGCATTCAAGAAGTATCATTTTTTTTAAACTTTCTGTTTCATAAGAACTACGGACCATGCACATCCTTGTCTTTTTCTACTATAGAATTATGTAAGTTATTTAAGTGACATTTTGTAAACATTTTTCTGGGGATGTGAGGCACAAGAAGCCTAAATCAACAAATTTTTATCTAGGAGAAAATTTCAGCAACCGATGCTCTCCTAAAATCTAATTGCAGAAAATTTCCTCTTCATTATAGGATAATTCAGCTTTTGTGGCTGCTCTTCTGCTTCCCAAATCTTCATGCTGCACTCCAGGGTCTTGCAAACAGCGTGTCTCAGATGTTACCAGGCCTGTACATTTCTGGTCATGGAGACTCAGAGCTTTTTTGAGGCTGCTAAGTTTCACTTACAAGGTGTAAAATTTACTAGACTGAAATGGAAGAAAAGAAAACTTTCTATTTTAAAAGATTAACATATGTTTTTCTTATTAGAACCCTGTGCACTTTCAACAGTGAATACTTCTGTCCTTTTGAAGAACTGCAAATAAGAAGGTTTGCATTAAACTGCAAGGAACTACCCTGCTGTGTGAAATTGTGAACTTCTTTCACCTTCATTCCTATAAATTTAAACTTTGTTCAGCTCCATTTTCCTGCCACTTTGCTCTTTCCCTAAGGACCTAGCTGCCTTGGGTTTGGTTGTTTTTATTGTATGTTTTCAGGAGCTATAACTCCCCTTTTGCCCCTCCTTCTTCCCTGTATTGGTTTAAATGCCCCTCCCATAAGAAATACCCTGATTCTCTTGGTCTTGTGCAACCCACAAGGGTCCCATTGAGGCTCTCATAGTGGACAAAAGTTATAGCTCCAGAGGTAACCCTGCCCCATCTGCTTTCAACATGTTGTACTTGACATTAACTAATGTCTCCTATTAGTACTGAAAGAAACAAATCTGGAAAAATGTATTTTCAAGCCGAGTTCAAACAGGCCACAAAGAGCAGTAGATTTTCAGCTGTATGTGCAAAATCTTTTTAAATATATATATATACACACAGTATATCTGTGTATGAATGTCTGTCTGTCTGTGAAAGCCAAGAATTTGAGGAACAGGTCAAGGGTACAAAAGTCATGCACAAATCCTCTGATTTACTGACTGGCAACATGAAAAGAGAAAAACTCAGACTGATTCAGTAGAGATAATATAGAGCAAACAAGAAAGGAACAAGCAGAAAACTGAGGTGAGAAATGAATG